TTTGTTGCTCCGGGTGGCAACCCTTTTATTTAACCGATTTCGGGCATATAAATACATATATACATATAATTTCTACCGAAGCTTGCGGGTGGCGTACCACCCCCTCGGGCCTTAATAGATCCGCCCCTGCCCGTGGAATCGTACTTTTTTACTATGACCTCCCTCCATAGCATGCTCTTCTACCCCGAATCTCCACAGCCACTTCCCCAACAAAGCTCTATTGAATACCCTAAGATCTTTTACTCCAAGTCCACCCCACTTCTTTGGGGAAGTGACTGTCTGCCAATTCACTAGATAAACTTTCTAGTTCCATCCGCCGTATCCCAAAGAAAATTCCTTTGAAGCCGCTCCAATTTTTCTGTGATGCTCACAGGAGCTTGCAATAGGGACAAGTAATAGGTGGGCATACTCGATAAAGTGCTTTTAATAAGCACTTCCTTACCACCTTTTGACAAGTACAATTTCTGCCAACCTGCTAATCTTTGTTCTACCCTTTCGATCACTGAATTCCAAACCGTAGTATCCTTATGCGAAGCGCCCAATGGGAGACCCAGGTAAGTAGTGGGAAGAGAGCCTACCTTACATCTGAGAACATAAGATAGCATCGATGTTGGCAACCTCACCCACCGGGAAAATCTCACACTTGCCGAGGTTGACTTTGAGTCCTAATACTATCTGAAACCACTGCAGGACCTGCTTCAGGTAGGTCAACTGATCCATATCGGCATCACAGAAAACCTTGGTGTCATCCGCAAAAAGCAAATGAGAGACTCTTCGGGCACTGAGCACCCCGATCGAAGCTGAGAATCCTCTCAAGAAGCCTTCGCCCGCCGCACGATCCATCATTTTACTCAGAGCATCCATCACTAGAATGAATAGCATGGGGGATAGGGGGTCACCTTGCCCGAGACCCCTGGAGTTGCCAAAGAAACCACACTGACTACCATTAACCAGGACAAAGAATCTGATTGAGGAAATGCAGAACTTGATCCATCCCCTCCATCTTACCCCAAACCCCATCCGCATCATAATAAAATCCAGGAACTCCCAATTGACATGGTCGAAAGCCTTCTCAAGGTCTAACTTGCATAGTAAGCCAGGTTCTTTATTTTTCCTTCTGAAGTCTACAAGTTCATTTGCCACCAAAACAGCATCCAGGATCTGCCTACCTTCCACAAACGCATTCTGGAAGGACGAAACAGACACGTCAAGAACCTTCTGAGTCTATTGGATAGCACTTTAAAAATAATCTTGTAAATACTCCCCATGAGACTAATAGGCCTGTAGTCTCTGATACAAGATGCACCTTCTTTCTTAGGCGCAATGGTAATAAAAGAAGCATTGATACTTCTCTCGAAAACACCATTCACGTGAAAGTATTCAATGGCTTCCATCAACTCCCCCTTAATGGTATCCCAACAGAGCTGGAAGAAGGCCAATGAGAAACCATCAGGTCCGGGGGCCTTATCACTAGCACAACTCGACACAGCCTCGTGCACCTCCTCCTCCTCGAAAGCCCTTTCTAGCCATTCCTTGTCTCCCTCTCCTATGTGGTTGAACTCTATTTCCCCCAAAGTAGACCTCCAACTAACTTCCTCTTTGTATAATTTCTCATACAACCCTACTATCGCCCCCTTTTACCTCCTCCTCTCCCTCAATCCTCACCCTATCCACAACTAAAGACTCTATGAAGTTTCTCCTTCGATTTGCAACCGCAACCCTGTGGAAAAACTTGGTATTCGAATCCCCCTCCTTTAACCAGAGCGCCCTCGATTTTTGTCGCCAACTAGTCTCCTGAGTTATTGCTAACTCGACTATTTCCCTCTTAACCTCCCCCAATCTCGCTTTCTCAGATTCATCTAACTCCCTCGCCCCTTCCCCTCTCTCTAATTTCCCCAATTCATGCATAGGCTTCCTCATTTTAATCTCTACCCTCTCAAAAACCTCCTTATTTCACCAAATAATCTCTCCCTTGAGCTATTTAAGTTTCTTCGAAAGACGGAATGAAGGTGTCCCTGATACCTCATAGCTTGTCCACCATTCTTTCACTTTATCACCAATTTTTTGGAACTTTCAACCATATGTTCTCTAATCGGAAAAGAGCATGCACCCCTCCTCCCTCTGCATCCATCTAGCAAGATAAGGTAAATGATTCGAAGTCAGCCTAGGTAAAGGAATCTGCAGCACATTCGGCATGGGCTTATCCCAGGAGGGCGATATTAGAAATCTATCAAGTCTAGACCTTGAGTTGGAATCCTCCGCCCTGGCCTAAGTAAACCTTTCCCCTGACAGAGGAAGATCAATGAGAAATTGATCATTGATGAAGTCAGAAAACTCCTCCATGGCCCTCTAAATCAGACTACACCCTAATCTCTTATTCGGGAATCTAATAGTGTTAAAGTCTCCCCCTAGAACCCATGGAATGTCCCATTCCCCCATAACATTGGCCAGTCCCTCCCAGAAAGACACCTTGGACCCTTCTCCTACCCGTCCGTGCACTCCCCCAAATCCCCACTCCATCCTACTCACTCTATCTTTGACAAGAGCTGCTAAAGAAAAAACTCCCTTCTTAATCTCCTTTACCTCCAAGCTTCTATCATCCCATATAAGAGGAATGCCCCCGGCACTTCCCGCTGCTGGGACCCTGTTATATTGTACCCAACTACCTCCTCAGACACTCCTCACAATCGCATCCGACAAAACTTCCATTTTAGTCTCCTGAAAACAAACTAGGTTGGCACTCCACTCTCTAACTCCCACTTTGATGATGACCCTTTTGTTTGGGTCATTCATCCCCCTCACATTCCATGAAAGAATCTTTAACTTCCATAAGTAACAATATCGCTCTTTTCCCCACCCCCCTAGCCGAGCTCCCTTCCTCCCTGTCACACACCCAACCCCTTCTTTGGTATACCATTACATCTCCTAAATTATTTTGCTTAACACCTTGACCCAACTCCCTCCTTGCACCATCATAAAAAGATTGTTGCTCAGTCTCCCTTAACAGTTCTAACACCCTATCTTCTTTCCTTTCAAAATAAACACCTAAAACTTCCCAAAGTTTAATGGTTTATCCTCTATCCAGAAGGACAAATCCCCTCCTTCAATCCGTGAGGAAATTGGACAAGCATCTTCTATATGTACTCTTTCCTTGCTCCTACCGGAGGAATACAAGACTATAGTATTGCTAGCAATAGGAACTTTAGGTGCCGGAAGGATCTCACCATTTCCTTGAGAGGCACCAATCTCTGAAATTAACACCCCGCTACTATAGGAATGTCCAGAAACGTCAGCAGGATAGCGGGAAGGAAGACATCATGGAACCTTTGGCGGCATATTAAATGGAATTGCTGGTCCGACACTAACATCAATTGGGGCATGCACAACAATCTCCCTAGAAGAAGAAGGAGCTTGAAGTGTAACCTCAGCACAGCTAAGCACATGAGAAGATGAGGGGGCGATGGAGTTGGGTCCATCAGAGGCGGGAGGCCGTGGAATAACATCACCAGCTTTAGCCAGTGCTGCCTCTGAAGCAGCGGCCATCAAAGAGGGGCACAGATCACTAGAGCTCGGTGAAGAAATACTACTGTGTGAAGCACCATTGGTAGAAGAAGAGGAGCGACTATTCCCATATGCTTAGGAGCGTTATCAGACGCCGCTTGAAATAATCTGTGCCCCTTAGGATCAATTCTAATAGAATTGGGAATAGTTGCTGGCCCATGTGTTGAGGCCCAGGCCTATACTTGCTGAAAACTTGCCCGACCCTATGATAATTAAAAGAGGACTGGCCCATTCTGCCTTTCCAGCCCCCATCACTAACCCAGGGGCACTCACGTCTTTTCCTGCTAATAAAATTTTGTCTTCTTCTCCCAAATTCAAACCCCCCGTCTCTTCTCGATCTAACTTTTGGTTCCGGCTTAGCCCACTGATCCGGTGAGGCCTCCCCTCCCCTCAAATACTGACTTCCCCTCCCCTCCATTCTATTTGACCTTCCCTTTTCTTCTGCCACTATCACATGCATAAAGATAGGGCTAAATTCAGGGCTCAACCAAACCCTATAACTCAAGTAGCCATCTTCCACCATAGTGGAGACAGAGACTCTGCCCCCTTTCCTCACCACAATCCTCACTCGCGAGAGATCGTGTAGGCTGCAAGTGACATCAATAAAACCCCCATAGATTTCCCCAATCTCCTTGAATAGGTCAAGACACCAAAGATGCACCGGGAGACCCATCATGTTGACCACAAATGTTTCGCCGGTGAAACGAGGGTCGAGACACCCATCATGTTCCACCCATTTGTCTAGCTTTAAGACCCATCGAACCACCTGTTTCCTTTGACAAGAATTTCTGAAGCTTGAGGCTCGTCGACAAATCGAAAGAGATATTGCGTGTCCCCCAATTGCGATATTTTCAGCCCGTCCTTGACATTCTATGCCTCTGCTGTCCAGTTCCTAACAACCTCTAGAGAACCAACCTATTTGGAGAAAGACCCAATCAGACAAGATTCCAAGAAACCCTTGCGCCTGAGAGTGTGCTCCTCAGACAGCAAGAAGTGCGGCTCCTGACCTACGTCGAGCTTTCGATGGCATCTTCCCCCAAGTTTTAAGGCTGGCCAAGAGGCAGCTTTGATGAAAGACATGTTTTCCAGTTTTTCTAGATTCTAGAGAGAAGTAGGGGCTTCTCTCTGTAGAATCCATCATATCTAAATGCGGCTGTCCCAAAAGCAAATTTAGGTTTACTTACTATAATCTCATTTTGAGAATAGCTATATCACCTTTCTATTTTTTTCTTCTATTAGTACTTATATTTTAAGCTTACTTCTAGTCATTCTTTTAACTATCCTTTTAATATGATCAAACTGCTTCTTGGTCTGCCTGCCACTACCTTTTAAGAGGCACGAAGCCACTAGAACTTCTTGAATGGGAATGAAGTAGTTTAAACAAGAACTTGTTTGCACTTTGTATTCCCTCCATCCCATCTTATGTGAAGGTATTACTACTTGGGAGTCCAACTGTTTTTCTTTGACTATGATTTTGTCAAGCTTTCTTTATTATTAACTATGTTTGACTTTTAATACTTTCATGCAGTTTTCAAATATATAGATTTTATTTTTTAAACTTGATGACTCTATGCCTGAATTCACACCGAAAATGAGGTGCTTTGACCCTCGTACTCTGAACCCCTTCACATAAATAAATTGGGATAGAGGGATTAACTGATTTTGTTAACAAATTTGCTGATAGGGAAACGGTGCTGACTTCCTTTTAAGTTTCTCTTCAGTTAAAGTGCTTGTCCTCTTTTTTTACTTTGATTATGTGTTGATAAAAGATTTGTCATTCTAGTTTCCATTGACTGGGAATGGTTGAATATGGTATATGATATGATGTAATCTTGAACTTTGTAACCTTTTGCAGTACCCTCTTGGTACTGCTTTATCAATGCAACACTTTACCTTATAAAAAAATGATATGGAACCGGATTTTCTTGATCTTTCCCAGTTTTTTTTTTTTTTTTTTTTTTTTTTTTTTTTTTTTTTTTTTTTTTTTTGGTCATTCATTATTTCGTTGAATTGGAGTGGAGAGCTCGGTCAAGTTGTCTCTGTGTGACCTATAGGTCACGGGTTCGAGCCGTGAATCAACCACCCATATTTGCGTCAGGGTAGGCTGCGTACATTATTCTCCATTGGGGTGAGGCCTTACCCGGACCCTGCGTGAACGCGGAATTGTTTGTGCACCGGGCTGCTAATAGAAAGAATTGATGGCATCAACAATCTGGTATTGTCGTGCTTACTATAGAGGGTACCATCGTACTTACTGTAGAGGAAGTCATCTCTTTGTTTATAAAACATGTGCAATTCACAGAAACTCTTAACAGTGAATGTTTTGAATTAGGATTGATCATTCTTATTCTTAGCTCGTGAAGAAGTATATATTTATATATTGAATAATATAATTAATTTCATTGGATGCTTGTATTCTTAATTAGTGAATTAGCTTAAAGAGAGATCTTCCTCCAGGGCGTGGATGCATGATTTTAATTTATCTTTTAATGTGATACAGAGAAAACAAAAATTTGACAGGAACTGCTAGATACGCAAGCATGAATACTCATCTTGGCATTGGTAAGCTTTTGTTTTCTCTTACCTACTTGTACCCGTTTGTTTATATGGATTGTTTTTACTCTATTAAGCATGCTTGCCTTCTCTGAGTTGCCTCTGAACCATATAGAACAAAGTCGAAGGGATGATTTGGAATCGCTGGGTTATGTTCTAATGTACTTCTTAAGAGGAAGGTAAATGTTTCTCCCTCCAGATTTTCTTATATGTTTGGTCTTTTGCTCCTTTCATGACAGTCTTACATTATGCTTTCAAAAACATGTAGTCTCCCTTGGCAGGGGCTGAAAGCAGGCACTAAGAAACAGAAGTATGAGAAAATCAGTGAGAAGAAAGTATCAACATCAATAGAGGTAATTTATGCTCCATCAATTTTCATATGGTAGCTATTTATTTTTTTATTCAATAAAATGATAGTAGTGCAAATTTTCCTTTATAGACCTTGTGTAGGGGATATCCTGCAGAGTTTGCATCATATTTTCATTACTGTCGATCACTGAGATTTGATGATAAACCAGATTATGCTTATTTGAAGAGAATTTTCCGTGATCTTTTCATTCGTGAAGGTATGATCATTTCTGCTCTCCATGCCTTACTATTTCATCTACACAGAAGATACTACAACTAGTACTTCAATTTCAATGTTCTCAGAATTTGTTCTTCCATTTTTCTTCCCCTCTCTTCCTTTTCCTTTCTCTCTTCTATTTCAGGGTTTCAATTTGATTATATATTTGACTGGACCATTTTGAAATATCAGCAATCACAGCTTGCCAATCCTCCATCTCGTGCTCTTGTGAGTGGCTTAAATAAATTAGTTTATGTTGAATTGGCATCAAAATACGAAAATGAAATGATATTTTTGGGACAGGGTGGTACTGCTGGGCCAAGCTCAGGGATGCCTCATGCTCTTGTTAATGTTGAGAGGCAATCAGGTATGCTCCGGTACAAGGCACCCCTCTCCCCCCAACACCCCCTCCCCTCCCCTACCTAAAAATAAGAAAAAAATTATCCCTCCTCACGAAAAAAAGGGAAGGAAAACTAAGCAATCATTCTGTGCTAACTGCTGTAGTGCTGTGGCATAAAGTGGTCAGGAATACTTTTAACAGGGAGCTGGTAATTGATCTATTTTTTCTCTTTCCTACTTTATGGAACATGTCATCCTCAGCTCTGTTCAAGCTCTTCTATTAGTATGTATAAAAAAGGACAGCCTGGTGTACAAAGCATCCCGCATTCACGTAGGGTCCGGGGAAGAACTGCACCCAAGGGGTGTGATGCAGACAGCCTAACCTAATGCAAGCATTAGTGGTTGCTTCCACGGCTCGAACCCTTGACTTATAGGTCACGGGGAGACAACTTTACCGTTGCTCCAAGGTTCCCCTTCTCTATTAGTATGTATCTCTTGTTTCATAAACATAATGCAAAGATAAAACTAGAATCAGTTTGGATTAGTCCATCATATCATTTATTTTGGATGGCATGCCTATCCTGTTTATGGAAGTATACTACCTCTAAATCTGCTTGTTTCTTATTCCCTGGGAGCTATATATACATGCGACACTTATTATGCAGGTGGAGATGAAGGTCGACCAACTGGTTGGTCTTCGTCAAATCTTACACGTAATAAGAGCACAGGGCTGCATTTCAATTCTGGAAGCTTATTGAAGCAAAAAGGCACAGTTGCTAATGATTTATCCATGGGTAAAGAGGTCCGTCCTCCTCTCTCCCTATTTTGAACCCTTTGTCCTGTTTCGGATGGGGTTGGAAAAGCGTAATACTATTGCAAATAAATTCTGTGGCAATTTTTACTTATTATAAGTTGATGTGACTGCATTTAGCTTTATCTGGCTGTATAAAGCTAGTTTCTGTAGCAATCCTAATCTATCGAGTACTTCGGCACGAGGATGGATGCATGCAGTTCCCAAAGTATAAGCAAAAATCCTGAAGTTTGTGGGGCAATTTTAATTAACCGAGTGCTTCACCAAGTAGAGGATAAATCCTGCAGTTCCCGAAGGATTAAAATTCCTAAATCACTTCCTCAATTATTTCATCCTGAAAAATCATTTGATGGGTGCAACTCTTTTTGGTCTCTAGGTTTTTCTTTTAAGTTTGTGGGTTTTGGGGG